TCGGAGGCCGAATCGAGAGGAAAGGCGTCGCGGGCTAGAGTTTGGCTTGAGGTAAATAACACTTCCAAACTTGGTTCAGAGGGTTCGAAACCCCGAACTATGTGTTCTATGATTACTGTTGAGTTGATGCAAATTCCAAGTGACGGGCGTGTGGGTGTGCACCATGAGAAATGCGGCCTAGATCATTCCAGAGAATCGCTTAGTGAGTCTTTCTTGCTGATATCTGTGTTGTATCTATGTGATTAAGTTAATGAGCTGCAAATCATGCTAATTATCATGTTAAGGCTTCACGCCAACACTGTTGAGACTCGAGAGGTCATTTCTTGCTATCATGTCATTTTCTTCATAATTATTCTATACTCAGTCGTGTTCATGCATATTATATCATGCCTCAGGCTCGATTATTGCTATTTGACATATCATATCATTGTTCGGGCTAGTATCATGACATTTTTGAGCCCTTGTATGTGAGACTGGAGAGTATTGACTAAGTGAGGCCGAGAGCCAGATATTGATTAACAGTATAGGATCGGGCTGCACGCCACAACAAGATATTAATCATGCCTTCGCTGGCATTGATATAGCGCTTGGGCTCAGAGAAGCCCCTCCGGAGTCTTTACACCCCCAGTGAGCACAATTGATGATATTGAGGGATGGATCTTCCCTGGAAATGGATCTTGTCTGAAGTATTGGTATGGAGATGGATCTTCTTCATGAGGCTGGATTGGCTTGTTTCCTCGGTACTGGGTGACTTATAGTCAGTGATGTACATATTCCGGGATGGATCTTCCTTGGGCCGAATGGGTCGTATACAGTACCGAGTGGTTAAGCACTGTGAGTGGAAGTATTATACGTAATATTGATCATACTATCTGTGCATTGGTACTTAAAAGTTCCTGAGCTTTATACTCTGTATTGTTCATACCGTGTTTAATCACTGTTGAGAATTTACTTGAACTGTAAGCATGTCTACTTTTCTATACAATTAAATGTTGCTGCCTGATTGAGGTTTGGTTCGTCACTACCGTCAGTCCATAGTTTGGACTTGTTACTTATTGAGTTGGTGTACTCACGTTACCCCCTGCACCTTGTGTGCAGATCCAGGTATCTCGGGCTATGGTAGTGGTTGCTGATCATATCATTGTGGACTTTCCTTTGGAGATTGCGAGGTAGCTGCTTGGCGACCGCAGTTCCGCCTTCTCCTTTCCTTATCTTCCTTTAGTATATTTATTTGAATATTCTCAGACCGTGTTGGCCATGTTATTTCGAACAAATGTAGTAGTTGTGGCTCACGACTTAATGACACCCGAGGTCGAGATTTTGTTTCTTTCCGCTGGATTTTGACTTCTATTTTTATCTTATTGGATTTCTATTAAAATTATGATTTTTCTTATTTTTTTATTTGAAAAATGCAGTATTTGAAAATAAGTGGTTGGCCTAGTATCACGATAGGTGTCATCACGACATGGTTAGATTTTGGGTCGTGACAATTATGATTTAAAAGCACGTTTAAGGTTATGACTTGTTTAATTGGGTATAAAGAATTATTTTGACATATTAAACTTTCTTATTAAGCTCTTAGTCACACACTAGTCTTATTTGATTCATGACTTAGTGGTTACATAGCTTAATTTACTCATGTTAAATATTATGATTTGACTTATGAATATTGAAATAGCTTGTTGAAATGTTATGATAAATTGCATTTGTCATGACCCAAAACCATCAACGGTCGTGATGGCGCCTAACCCACTTAATGACTTTTTGGAATTTGATTAAAGATTGAAGTTTTATTATTTGGAGCCAATTTCTATAGCTTTGTTTGGCTTTATTGAGTAATATTTGACTAGATTCGAGTCGTTTGCAGTTGAATTTGAAAGGAAAGGCAGTTATTCTTGATTGAAGCTAGCCAGAAGAGGTAAGTCTTTTGTCTATCCTTGTAAGAAGGAATTCTCCCCATATGTGATCAATTTGCTTCTTGTTGCTTGATTTAGGTGCGACATATATACGAGTTATGACCATATCCAGATTGAGTTAGGCTTATGGTATATACCTTGTATGGACAATTTAAATTTATTGTCCTTGTTTCATTGATTCAATGTTTACATGATGACCCAAAATTATGATTTTGAAGCGTGCTTAAGGTTATGACTTGTTGAATTGCGCATAAAGGATTATTTTGCCCATGTTGAGCTATCTAATTAAGTTGTAGTCATATATTTATCTTATTTGATTCATAATTTAGTGGTTACATTGATTAATTTACTCATGTTTAATATTATGATAAGACTTATGAATATTATAATAACTTATTGAATTATTGTGATAATTGAATTACATGATCAACCATAGCCACCTTTTATCCATATGAACTTTTATCCATACTTCTATTGGTATGTCCCAATGCTTCTTAATTATATTATATATGCATGGGTTAGAGATTTAGATATTTGAGAAAAATAGAGAACTTTGACACTAAGGACACCATAAATGGATATTGATTATTAGTTATTGATTGTGAAAATGATCGACGCTTAGATATGGATTTGTCTCTCCGGAATGAGGTGATTACCCATGTTACTTTGGGCCCTGCGAGCGTAGACACTCAGATTTGGTGCTTGGATTAGACGTATGGCTAGTGTGAGGAACATGAATTTGTGTTGAGAGGGTTGAGAGAGGTTTTGAGCATGCATATGTATTTCTTAGACGCATGAAGTATCTTTTATATCATGGTTGATTGATATACGTTACGCCTTTGTGCGAAGATTGAGGTATTTGTCATCTTATTTGATCTCTTTTCTGAGAAACATGCCTAAATTCCATAATTATTGTATCTCCACCTATTGTGCTTGATTGATGATGTCATGTCTTATTTTGTATCTAATTCCTGCACTCATTTGATATTTGGGCTATTAGTAGGTGTCTATATCGATCCCTCACTACCATTTCTTTAAGGCTAGACTTAATATTTACTGAGTATCGTTGTTTTGTACTCATACTACACTTCTGCATATTTTTATACTTTTTTCGAGGTAGGTACTGGTGGCACCCATCAAGATGAGTAGGAGTATATTTGGAGACTCCGTGGTGAGCTGCTTTTCTTGATCCGATCCGCATCACAGGAGTCCCCTTTCCCTACTTATCTATCTCTATCTATTTGTTCCTTTCTAGACAGATGTTATAGTTCAATTGAGACTATTTACTCTTGTTAGATGCTTATAATAATGTGACACCGTATTTTGGGCATTTGTGAGACAATTGTGGTTGTATTTGAACTCCACCTTAAACTTATGTATTATGATATTGACTTGAGACTTATTCTGCATTATTATTTATATCATGACAATGTTAATAACTTAAAATTGCTTTTGTAATTGTTGATAAGTGTTGTATTGCCTAGTGAGCGGGTTAGGCACCATCACTATTGGGATTTTGGGTCGTGACATTATTAGGGAAAAGCACTCGTTTGTGCAGCATATCTAAGTAATCGAGTACCTTCTAGCATAACTAATTTTACAATACCATCTCAAGCTCTTGCTGAAGTGGTGATTATACTAGCAGTCCCAAATTTGTCTCCTCATGCTTTGGGTTGTGTAGTGTTGGTGCTTATGGCATTTGTACATCTTCGTAAGCACCAACACTAAAAGCTAGCTCCTCACTCATTGTATTGTATTTTTCTGAGATATGCTTTCAACGACCTAACTGATTGTTTTGAGTTCTAGAACCTCATTCCCATATTAAAAATTTCTCATAGGTTAATTTGGTGTTTTATGATTTTCGGGTATGAGCAGTTCGGGAATACTTAGTTTCTAACTAGAAGCCATAAGTTGAGAAAAGTTGACCAAAGTTAATACTTTGGTAGAAAAGCTCAAATTCTTGATTGAAGGTTCCAATAGGTTCGTATGATGATTTTTGACTTGTACATATATTCAATTTATCACCCAAGGGGCTCGGATGTGATATGGACATATCTTGTGAAAGTTAGAGCTTAAACAACTTAAGAGAGTTTATAGTTTGATTTGAACCTTGATTTTTAGATTTTATGTTTCTGTATGTGTTAAGAGCCCTTGAACAAGTTCATATAGGGCATATGGAGTACTCGGGATAGCTTGGAAAAGTCCCAAAGTCTCGGGTGAGTTTCAGGGTGTTCAAAAGTGCTTTCAAAGAGAAAAACCAACAGATCTGCACCAGGTCACAGAAGGGAGGAGACAAACTCTGGGGCAGCATGCGATGCAGGGACCTAGACGAGCTCATCTAGTTGCTGAAATTTTAGCTTATAGCTATTTAACCTTATTTTGTACGTAATATTCATTTTATCATTTGGAGTTGATTCGTAAAGTTTTATTTGACCTTGTTGAGTATTCTTTGGATGGATTTGGGCTTTTAGAGACCGAGGATCGAGGAAAAGGGTTTTTGGAAGGTTAAAGCCTACTATGAAGAAGGTATCCTGGCAAACTTCAACTTGATGGAATTTTTCCTAAAATGGACGTATCTGGTATATGCTGTGTTTAAAGGTAAGGTATATGCGAGGTGATGAGTGCATCCACGGATACTCATTGTAGACATGTAATTTTCGACCCTCCCCAAAACTTTACATATTTTAGCATTTAAATACTTAGTTTAGGTCTAATATAGTTATTTCAATTAGTTATGACACCTTTTACTTTATTTTATCACAAAAAAAAAGTTTCATTCATGTTTTGTAGTCATTTTTAATCTTGAAAAAATACCAAAAATAGATTTGTTTTAACGATTAGTGTTATTTTAATAGTTATTTTCTTAAGTAAGATTAAGTAGTATTTTAAATAGTTTATCTTGTTTGCTTTATTATTTTTACATACAAAAAAAGGAGGAGGGAATAAAATTAATTTTTTGGACATTTTTAGTCTTGCTTTTAGCCCAATTAAGCCAATCTCTTAGCCCATTAACCCAAAAGCCCAAACCTTAACCCATCAACACACTACACAAATAAAATAAACCTAGAATCTCTAATAAAAAGGAGGACATATACACTCTAAGGATCAGCAGCCGTTTTCATAGGAGACCCCCCTGAAGATCGTCTTCTTCGTCACCCCCATCAAATTTTCGTTTTTCTTCTCCTACACGTTCAAAAAACCCTAGAACTTCATCTTGTTCATCCTTCAGCTTCAGCAGAAATACACCAAGGACCCCCCAACCTTTGCTTCTTCTTCCTCGACTAACCTAGAGAACATAAGGAAAACCCTAGACTCCATTGAAGCTGCGCTACAACCATTCCCCAGTCGAAGAACACAAACACTTAGAACTCCCAGCTACACACACCTCTCACACCACCTGGAATTCGCCGGAGATAGCAGCAGACAAAGCCATCTCTTTACTGCCGAAATCCGGCGAGGATAAACCCAGTCGCTTCTTCTGCTTCTTCCCATTCACGACAGTGCACTAGAAACCAACATGCTACTTTTCTCGAAAAATCTCGCGAAACAGTTTTAAGACGAGGTTGGTTTGAGGTCGTCGATGTCCGTTCGAGGCTCAATCACCGGTTCAAAGTTCAGGTCATTAGCTCGCTTTTTGGTTCGTAGTATCGGAGGCTTCTCTCATTGTATACGTTAAAGAAAGCGCAGCAATAAAGGTCCGATTTTATTATTCTTACTCACTCTTATTGATACATTACATGTGCTTAGTGTTTAATTTGAGTTTATTTAAGTGATCTACTGTACAATTTGGAATTATCTATATGTTTGTGTGCTCGTATTGGTTTTCATTTTAAGATTTCTTAGTTTGCGATTTGAGAATCTCTTTCTAGTAATTGATGAATGGTTGCCGAAAGTTCTGTGTGAAATTAGTTCATGTTGAATGTCTTAGGAAAGCGTATTTGAAGTTTGAATCTAAAGAGTAATTTTAAAATATTGGTATGACAATGTGATTATCATTTTTTTTAGTTATCTAGATTCTTACTAAATAAGCATGTTCTTTTGCATCATTTTGATTTCATTGGCTAGTTATTTAGAAAGAAAGTTAAAAAAATAACGCTTGCTGAAAGTTTTGTTACTGAAGAATGAAGTACCAAGCTAGATCAAAACCTTGTTCTTGTTAATTTATATAAGCTCAACGTTTTTTTAGGATAACAAATTTATGAAATATTGTAGCTTGCTTTAGGCGCAATTAATAATAAATTATCATGGCCATGGGTACGGTTCCCGTGGTATGGTCATGATACGTAAATTCCAAATCCGGGGGTACATTTATGTGACACGGCCGCAATTTAATCTTATTAATAAAATAAATATGTTGTAGATCGTGGGTACGGTTCCCGTGACATGATTCACAATGTGTAATCAAATAATTAGCTGTATGACAATCGTGGATTTTTAAAAGCGGTAGGAGGAATAAAATGCACAATAGGTTTAAAATATGTAGTTAATCAGATAATTAGGCCAATAATAATAGTTGAGAGATCATGCTAAAATCACGGAATCCGGGAATGCCTAACACATTCTCTCGGGTTAACAAATTTCTTACCCGGATTTCTGTGTCGCAAACCATAAATAAGAGTCAAACTTCCTCGATTCGGGATTTTAAACCGGTGACTTGGGACACCATAAATTATCCCAAGTGGCGACTCCGATTTTAATATGAATAATCCCGTTTTGATTGTCACTTAAATTGGAAAAAACTCGCTTATACCCTTCTAGGTAGTAAAAAGGAGGTGTGACAGCTCTGGCGACTCTGCTGGGGACAAGAACCCAGAATCTCTAGTTCAGGGTTCAAGAATTCGAGCTTAGAATAATTGTTATATTTGGCTTTTATTTATTATCTGATTTTATGCTTGAGCCTAATGTGCTAAATGCCGCTTTTTACCGCTTTGATATTATTTGAACTATATATAAACTGTTGCGAAACCCTTCTCTTCTAATCTTCTGGGAAGTGCACGCTGGCATGACTTCTTTTCTATTAGTGTCATATCCTAATTTAGAACGAGGTTCGGACAAGTTGCAAAGCCGGATGATCTTTTGGTTATCGGTACGCTGCCCCCCTTCGGCTTGAGTTGTCCGCTCGGGTAAGCCAGGTCTACAACAATACACCCAGGTTTTAAACTTAGAATAACATAGCCTTTTACCGGATCCCTAGTAGGAACGCTTGATTGCATCATGTGCATTTGACTTTGGGGACTCAACACAGGGGTTGGGTCCGTCTAGGATAGGTGTACACCAAAAATAAAAGACCATCCTGATACATCCTATGTACTACATGTTGCATTTCTTCAAGGGTAAAAGGGTCATTTGGTGGACCAATGATGGTTGAGGGTAAATGAGAAAGAAAAGAGGGTGAAGCATGAAAATAAAGCAAGCAGGGCCCAGTTACGTTTTTCTTTCACATTTTTTTTAAAGAAAAAGACAAAAAAAGAAAATCCAAAAAGAGTTTACATGTTTCATCATTTTTCAAGATAAAAAAACAAAAAAATATTTTTTCTCTAAATTAGTTGTCTTTTTTTATTCTTAAATGTATCCAATCTTCCCGAACTACGCATACCTAATTCTCGTCTTTCGGGGTGTGATACGTAGGCAGCCCACATAGGGTCCGGTCTTCCTAGTGAGTTTTAGGTTCTTGGCTTCGCGGGGTCTTAGTCAAATCTTACATTTTTAGCCACTTTTAGCCACATAAGTTAATTTTAGAGAAATAGTCACAATCATGTCTTGCATGTGTCCAACAGGAAGGGTTATTGTCTCACATAGCGTTCTAGGTTTAACTTTATTTGGTCTTAATTTTCTCATACAGGTATGGACTTACTTACCGGAGTTTGAGCATGACAGACACCCCAGGACCATCCAGTCAGGGTCGCTCATTCAGGAGTTTGCTTAAGGAGATTTTTTTTAGTTATTATGTCTTGAGTCTGTTGTTCTTTTTATGTCATCTTTTACCTTCTAGTTTTATACAGTAATGTCGAGTCTTTTAGGTGATGTTAGAATTTGTCATAGTCTAGTTAAGTTTGCCGAGTCTTTTGTTATCGTATTTCCTATTTTGTATTGGAAAAATGTGTTATAAGTCAAAAAAATCCAAAAAAAGAATTTTTGCATTTTTATATTTCCGTTAGAAGTTTTCTTTAGAATACTTATTCTAGGAATAAAAAAAAATTATTTGAGGTGGTTTTCTTTTATTGAATTAATATCTAGAACTCAAAATAAAAAATTGCTTTTATATTTTCTTATAGAACATTAAGTCTATAAAATTCCAAAAAAAGAAAAATTGTTTCTTTTATTTCTCTTTTTTCATAAGAGTAGTCATTAAGGTAATAAACAAAAAAGAAAAAAAAGAAAAGAAAATGAGAACGCTATTTTGTTTACTTTATTCCCGATCTTCCCGAACTATGCAAAGATCTGATTCATGCGGCGTCCTGATACGTAGACAACCTGCATAGGGTTCGATCGAATTTTTTTATTATTATTAAAAGGAAAAGGAAAAAATAAGGAAACAAAAAAAAATTATAAAATAAAATAAAACAACAAAAAAGAGAAAAGAAAAAAAAGAGGTTGAAGTTGTGGGACGTGAGAAATGAGAGGAGAGAAAAGGGTGATAATTAAAAAAGAGAGGAAGAAAAATGAGCAAACCAAGAAGTGCTAGAAAAGAAAGAAAAGAAAAGGTTGAAATGAACAAAATTGGGATCATGCCAAGTGACCTTGTGACCCTAGAAGTCATTCTAGAACCATTAATTGTTGATAGGTGTATTGCACGAAATGTGATATTTTTAGCTGTTAAATGCCCTAATGCTAACAGGATGTCCCCATTTTATTCTTTTTGTTATCTTCATTAAGCAGAAGGGTGGTTGGTTTGTGGTTTTTAAGTAACCCATCCATACAACACAAGATCAAAGATCAAGATAGCCATGGCTAGCAAAGACTTGGACATAAGGGTTATTGATCCGTCTAAGGGAGTTGTTGAATCAGAATCTGAGTTAAAAGAAGAGGTCTTGAGGTTGAAAGGACATATGGCCGAAATATACCAAGCCTGGATTAGTGGGCATCCTCCACCATTAGTTCCCACTGACTACACTGAAAGCCTTGTCTCCATTCCGCCACTGTCACAAGTCCAGGATATCTCCCCACAACCTTTTCACACTCCAACCCCAGAACCACCTCATATCCTGCTCCTTTGACCACTCATGTTTTTGTAGCTCATCACTTGCTACCTTTCTTCGATCCTCTAGCGAGACTGTGTTCAAAATCCTCGATGCCCAACACTATGCTTCAGAACCAATTTTCAAGGTCTCGGGTCCATACTCTTACGCTCCCCATTTTGAGCCTCCTGGTGAGACTGCAAAGCCTCCTAAGACAGTGGAGCAAGATGAGATATCCAGAAAGCTGAAAGGGTTTAAGATGCCAAAGTTTAATTTGTATGATGGGCGTGGAGATCCAGTAGCCCATTTGAGGGGTTATTGAAGTGAAATGAGAAGTGTTTGTGGGAAAGATGAATTGTTGATGGCATATTTCAGTGAGAGTTTGAGTGGGGAAGCCTTGGAGTGGCTTACTCGTCAAGATGTCAGTAAGTGGCATGCATGGGGTGACATGGCTCAAGATTTTGGTCGGCACTATCAGTACAATGTAGACATTATCCCAGACCACTCTTCCTTATCTCAGATGGAACAGAAACCCGAGGAAAGTTTTAGGGAGTTTTGGCTCAGATGGAACGAACAAGTTGCTGGGGTCAGTTCTTCGAGTGATAGAAAAGATGCTGCTGAGTCTCGCCAACGACAGGACCTAGTGGGCATTTCTGCTAAACGCTTTCAGCCTCAATACCGACCCCATGAATATCCTCGTACTCCAGATAATCCTTCCCAGTGCTACTTTCCTCCACAAAATCACCAAGGTCATGCCTTACCTTCCCAGTACTCTATCCACAATGCGCAGCCATATGCTCCACACCCACGAGACCCGCAATGGCTTGCACCACCTCCATAAATATCGTACCCGCCTCCTCAAGCATGTCAACCTCCTACCCGTAGGAGGTTCCAACCGAGGCTGGAGTACAAAATGAAAAGACAGCAGGAAAAAGAAAAGACTTTCACTCCTATTGGAGAATCATATGCCAGTTTGTTCCATAAGTTGAGGCAATTGGACATGTTGAAGCCGATTCAGATAAAAATGTCGAACCCTCTTCCAAAGAATTTTGATTACTCTCAAAGGTGCGCATATTGCTCTAATTCCCCGGGTCACATCACAGAAAAGTGTTGACATCTGAAAAGAGCAATTCAGAAGCTTATTGATGCATGTGACATTATCGTGCAAAATTCAGATGCAGTAGACACTAGCCAAAGTCCATCGCTTGTTCATAATGAGACACATATGGTGGGTATGATTTGTGTTGAAAAGGAATATGAGAATTCTTCTAAGATCCTCGGAGGGCCACTTGCCACAAAGTTTTCAGTGTTATCAGTCTCCGTTCCAAAGTTGATCTTAAGAACAAGTTGGCAAAAGTGACCCAAAAGCTATTTGCTGAGGTCAATGTGATTTAAATTGGTAATGATATTGGTAATATTGATGTGGAACTCAGTGGTTAAGATGTAGAGCTTGGTAATTGGAAAGACGCTCCCTTCTTGGTTAGTCAAGGAGGAGTTCTGGTGGTTTATTTTGTTGTCATTTCTATTGTCCGGGTTATTTCAGGGTTGTGATTCGGATATTGTCTTGTGACTCAAACTCATCTATCCTTTTATTTTGCATAGTTCGTTTAGTCGTAGTAACTCGTTTAGTGTTGTCTAGGTTTGCTTCAGGATTGTAACCCCAGTTTATTTTGCTTGTTTTATTGTTCAAACCCTGTCACTGTCTGTCTAGTGCAATTTTCTGTTTTCTGTTATTTCTAATCATTTTTTTTGTTTAGTTCTCTTCTCTTTTTATAGTTCTTTTTATGCTAGCTCTAGTAACATGACATGCACACATAATTCTAGGCATGGCCTTAACAGTTAGTTTAGTCATGAAGCAATTAAGCCGTTTTGAAGATGATAGGGACACTTGAGAGAAATAAGTACAGATTTGGACATTTTGAGATCATTTAAAGCCCGAACTATGTGAAACTGGGGTAGATAATTTGGGAAGTTAATAGGATGAAAAGAATTCGTTAAAGAAGAGCGGATCCCTGACAATTTGAAGCGAGTAACTTTGAGTTCAAGTGCATCTCAAGTAACAAGATAAAGCCAAGAGATTTTGCTCCAAACAGACGGAGGACGCCCATCGTGAAGAAGAAATCACCCAATGAGAGTTCTGTACTTGACAAGGCACTAAAAAAATGATAAGCATATTAGTGATATCAATGCCGAAGCTGTAAAAGAAATGTTTTGTGTGTTTTTTTCCAGTTGCATATGTTGTATTTGGCATTTTCAGGGATTGGGAGGCCATCTTTCAGCTATCCAAACACTTATATCATTCGATAACATTTTGAGCATGTACTGATTTCTTTGACCTCCACTCTTTTGGAATCATGTTAGAGTCATTTGAAAAAAAAAGTTCATGCACCATAGGTTTATTTTAGAAAGTTCATTCCAAAAAGAAAATTCAAAAAAAGAAGAAGAGAAAAATAGAGAAAAAAAAGAAGAAAAAAGAAAAAAAAAAGAAAAAAAGAAAAAGAAAAATAGTAACAAAAGTAGTCTTGTGAACTACGTTCGACCTGATTCTTGTCACCACAAGATACGTAGGCAGCCTTATGGTTCGGTTGCACCAAATAAAATATTTCATAATCCCACGAAGTCGAGAGTGGGGAAATCTTTCTTAGAAAATTGCATCTCAAAAAGTAAAAGAAAAAAAAAGAATCAAATTCCCTTGTTTTAGAAATTGGGGTAGAGTTTTAGAATGGATTTCAAAAGTTGTAAATAAATTAACCCCGTTGTCTTAGTTATTTTGAGCCTTTATGATATCCTTTCTTTCTAACCCTGTCCAAAAGTCATATTACAGTCCAAAAAAGACCTCCCAGATAATCTTTGAGAGTGCTGAGTTAGACATGCCGGGAGCATATGATGTTTTTACTCTGGTCAATGCCTTGTCATCCACAGAATCAGAGGAAATAAAAAGAAAAAGATCAAAATGAGAGAGTCTTATCGGTGAAAACCTTCATAGGCACCATAAGGCGATGGTAAGTTGTGAGAAAGAACAAAATGAGAGAGGCTTGATGGTGAAAACCATTCGGGCACTACAAGTCGAATAAGGATCATGAATCAGATTGGATAATCGGAGCATTGAAGCCCAGTTTCACGGTTTAGGGGTATAACAAAAGTTGAACATCAGACTTGCTTGACAGATTAGGCCACTTAATCCAAAGGTACATGTCATGGTCATTAGAGTTGGTATCCACATCTGATAAGTTTCTACTTTGTAGTTTTCTTGTTAGGAATCATCTCTTTCCATTATTCTTTATTTTGTTCCTTTTGTTTTGTTTACTTCCTCTTCCTGAGTCTGTATGGTCAGAACAAGTGAGAAATGACTTCAAAATTTGCCACCAGCTTTCTGATTGCACAAAACGAGATCTGGCTAGCACGTCAAAGTGGCATAAGTCAGGAAAGAACAACATGCGCACTGAATTGGTAACAATCAACGTGCTTTGGAATTTATGTGAAATATAAAGGTTCGGTATATGTCAATTCATGAACAATGCAACAGATAGAGGGTGTTGGGTTTGAACAGATCAAAGGTATTTTCTGTGATAAGGTTGACAGAGAAAGTGGTTAACCAATAACAAGCAAGGTTTTCCAAGTGGAAATCAAAGTTATCATGACAAGTGAAGAAGCAATAGACCCCAAGGCCAAGGCCAGTGGCATACGTCAGGAAAGAACAGCAAACGTACTGAGTTGGTAAAAATCAATGTGCTTTGGGATTTATGTGAAATGCAAAGGATTGATATATGTCAATTCATGAACAATGCAACAGATAGAGGGTGTTGGGTTTGAACGGATCAAAGGTATTTTCTGTGATAAGGTTGATAGAGAAAGTGGTTAACCAATAACAAACAAGGTCTTCCAAGTGGAAATCAAAGTTATCATGGCAAGTGAAGGAGCAATAGACCTCAAGGCCAAGGCCACAAACCAACCACCATATTTATAAACT